TGACCCGGGAGGAGGAGAAGCTGCCTCTGCACAGCCCAGCAGCCCAGGACGGAGCAGGGCGGCTCCAAAAGGAGAAGAGACAGAGACTGACCTCCCAGCCAACAGCAAAGCCAGCGCAAGGGTGTGGCTGAGGCTCTGGGGAGAAATTCCTGACGGTGCATTGAAAACAAAGCGAACCAAGAAGCGAGGCCATTATTAACTCCAGAAAAAAAGGCATCATAATAAATATCACAGAGCCGTAATAACAAAATTCCATGAACTGCAATACCAAAAAAACGGTAATACCTAAAACAAACAAACAAACAAAAAACCAAATCAGTCCATTGGACTTCATTAAAATTAAATACTTTTGTTCTAAAAACACTATTACAGAGCTGGGTGCAGTGGCTCACGCCTATAATCCCAGCACTTTGGGAGGCTAAGGCAGGAGGATCACTTGAAGGCAGGAGTTCGAGAACAGCCTGGACAACATGGTGAAACCCCGTCTCTACTAAAAATACAAAAATTAGTCGGGCGTGGTGGTGAGTGCCTGCAATGCCAGCTACTTAGGAGGCTGAGGCAGGAGGATCGCTTGAACCTGGGAGGCAGAGGTTGCAGTGAGCCGAGATCGCACCACTGCATACCAGCCTGGGTGACAGAGTGAGATTCGCTCTCAAAAAAACTAAAACCACTATTACAAAAAGGAAAGGCCCACCAGACTGGAATCAAGTATGTGCAAAATAGATTCCTGGCAAGGGACTTCCATCTAGAGTATACAGAGGACTTTTATAACTAAAAAAGACAAAAGCCCAAGTGGAACAAAGCGGGAAGATTCTAACACACACTTCACCACAAGAGATGAACAAAACACAAAAAGATGCTCCACGACATCAGTTAATGAAGGAAATGCAAACTTGGGAATGCCGCAAACTAAAACCACCCAGGCGTCCGTCAACAGGTGAGGGTACGACTGAACCGTGGCACTTTCGCACAACAGGACCCTGCAAGCTATGAAATGCAACAAATTCCTGACGTGCGCCGCAGCAATGCGGCTCAGAATAACCACACACACCCGAGGAAGCCGGACAAAAAAAGAAGACACGCCGTATGGTTCCATTTATGTAAAACTCTAGCAAATGCACACTAAATTACAGTGACAGAAAGCGGATCAGTGGTTGCCTGGAGATGGGGAGGGGGGGCCCAAGGACTCTGGGAGAGACAGACAAGTTCACTGTGGTGATTGTGGCCACAGCTTCACAGGTATACACACGTCAAAACTCATCACACTGGACACTCAGATACCTCAATGAAGTTGTACAGTCATCATAATACAGAGTCTGCCTTAGCCATGAAAAGAATTAATATCATCAGATAACACCTTACGTGACTTTAAACAAATATTGTGATAATTATACTGGGTGGGGCAAGGGATAGCACAAAAAGGCTAAGTCCATATCTTCCGTAATAAGAATCCGTTTGATGATGTCTGAAGTTTTTTTTTGAGACAGAGTCTCGCTCTGTCGCCTAGGCTGGAGTGCAATGGCACGATCTTAGCTCACTGTAACCTCTGCCTCCTAGGTTCAAGCAATTCTCCTGTCTCAGCCTCCCTAATAGCTGGGATTAGGCACGCGCCATCACGCCCGGCTAATATTTTGTATTTTAGTAGAGACGAGGTTTCCCCATGTTGCCCAGGCTGGTCTCGAACTCCTGAGCTCAGGCAATCCACTTGCCTCGGCCTCCCAAAGTGCTAGGATTACAGGCATGAGCCACCATGCCTGGCCCTGTCTAAACTTTTAAAGAGGGGGGCGGGGAGGGGGAGTGGCAGGGGCAGGGGGAGGGGGAGTGGCAGGGGCAGGGGGAGGGGGAGGAGGAGGGGGAGGAGGAGGGGGAGGAGGAGGGGGAGGAGGAGGGGGAGGAGGAGGAGGGGGGAGTGGCATAAACCTGTCCTCTTAAACACGCGGCCGAGGGAGCCGCCTCTGCGCAGCAGGACCTGGGCACCCTAGGAGGGTGGGAAGGGGCCAACTTCGTTTCAAACACGGATGTGTTGCCTTCATAAAAACTCAACTCCCAGCAATCTGACCCGGCAATTCCAGTTTCGGTGCATGCACAGGAGAGATGAAAACAGGCTCACAGCTGCTGGAAGGTGACAGCAACCCCAGATACATGAAATGGGTCCGCCCATGCAATGGGTCATTGTTCAGCCACAAACAGGAATAAGGCCCTGACATGGGCTACAGCACAGATGGACGGTAAACATGCGCTCAGGGAAAAGGGTCAGACACAGAAGGTCACACACTGTATGTATGCCTCCATTAATATGAAATGTCCAGAACGGGCCAGTCCAGAGAGAGACGCAGTGGCGTGGCTGCCACGGGCTGGGAGTGTGGGGATGAGGGAGGGACTGCTTAAGGGGTACAGGGTTTCTTTTGGGGGTGCTAAAAACGCTTTGTGGTGATAAAAACACTTTGGAGTTAGACGGGGGTAATAGGTGCACACTGCAAATACACTAAGCCGCAGAACTGTACGCTCTAATGGGGTAACTGTATGGCATGTGAACTGTGTCAATAAAGCTGTTACCAGGAAAAAAACCTGACTCCAGAGCCAGGCGGGCATGTGGCGGGCCTCTGCAGATGGACAGCGGGGCTCCACGCTCTGGGAAGAGCCCTGGGAGAGATTCCACAAGGCCACAGGTAGACGGACGCTCCCGGATCCAAGTCAAAGCCCTCACACGTCTCCCTCTCTCCTGAAGCTTCCCTTCTCCTCCTCGTGCCCATGTGGGCTCAGCACCTTCTTGTAGTCAACCACCAGGGACTCTGCTGACAGGAAGTTTTGGAATCCCACCGTTTTGGACACACCCACCCCTCACTGTGGGCCACAAAAGCCTGGAGTTCCCCACAGGCAGACCCCCATGCGACCAAGGGAGGAAAGCACCTGGTCCTCCAGCTCATCTCCCAACAAACGGTTAATGATGGTAAGACAATGACTCAGCCAGGAGCGGTGGCTCACGCCTATAATCCCAGCACTCTAGGAGGCTGAGGTGGAAGGATCACTTGAGCTCAGGAGCTTAAGACCAGCCTGGGCAACATAGTGAGACCTTACCTCTAAAAAAATCAAAAATAAAAAAGTAGCTAGGTGTGGTGGCGCACATCTGTGATCCCAGCTACTAGGGAGGCTGAGGCAGGAGGATCACTTGAGCCCGTAAGTTCAAGGCCACAGTGAGCCGTGATCGTGCTACTGCATTCCAGCCTGGGCGACAGAGCAAGACCCTGTCTCTAAAGAAAAAGAAAACGCCCCTTTCACAGACATCCACTGTTTCTGCCCTTCTCCAAACCCTGAAGACCTGGGCTGGCGCCCAGGAGCTCCAGAGCAAGCTGCTGTTGGTTGCACTGGAGTCTCGGCCTCCACCGCCCTAACGCCACGCATCTCACACCTCACCCTCCAGGCTGAGGCTGTGGAGGCCCGGCAACCCCGCCCAGAGTGCCTCCTCCTCTCCTCCCCAGTCTGTCAGCACAGCGGTGCCTCAAGAAACTCCCAGCACCGGCACGGTGGCTCACGCCTGTAATCCCAGCACTTTGGGAAGCCAAGGTGGGTGGATCACAAGGTCAGGAGTTCAAGACCAGCCTGGCCAAGATGGTGAAATCCCATCTCTACTAAAAAAAAAAAAAAAAAAAAAAATAGCCGGGCGCAATAGCAGGCACCTGTAGTCCCAATTACTCAGGAGACTGAGGCAGGAGAATCTCTTGAACTCAGGGTTCGGAAATTGCAGTGAGCTGAGATCGTGCCACTGCACTCCAACCTGGGTGACAGAGTGAGACTCCATTTCCAAAAAAAAAAGAAAAGAAAAAAGAAACTCCCAGGAATCACCAGACCTGCAGCAAACATCCCAGTGGACCTGCCCAAGGGAATGGCATGGTAGGGGGAGGGGGCTCCAATGAGGGGCCGCAGGGGCTGCTAAGCACGCAGGACGTCTAGAGCGAACTGGAGAGAACGGAGCCTGGGCAGGCAAAGCTGGTTCCCGGGTTCCCAGCCCCACCGCCTCAGCATTAGGGAGATGGAGCCTCTTCTGGGAGCTGGAATTGACACAGAGCAACCCAGGACCCCCCAACCCACTGCCTGCCGACACATCCAGGGCCTCTGTCAGTCAACGGGGCTATCAGTCCCCAAAAAGAAAAGTAGAAAAAAGGGACCAGGGCCAGTCCCACTGACGCTTCCCCATCCGAGGGTCTCCAGACCTGCAGACCACCTCCCAGATCGGCGGCCACGGGGAGGTAATCAAGAGCGAGCACGGCCTGTCCTCTGTGACCAGAGGGAAGAGGAATCCAAGTGGTTTCTCCAGCAACACAGGCTTCGTCGTGCGTCGACGAAGCTCTGGGAGCAGCAAGTCAGCACAGGCACAGCCGGCCTGGGGTCTCCCAGGTGGGCAGAGGAGACCTCAGCACCACCCAGCTAGGTGAGGGGACTGTGGAAGCATGGACTCCGCCTCAGCCACGCCTGCAGCACCACCACGCGGGCCCTGACTTTCCAGGTTTTGCCCTGTGTCCCTTGACATAGACGTCGTAGGAGCCATCACAGAAAATTTGCTGAACATAGACAAAGCGTCAATAACATAAGCTGCCAGTCAGCCAGCAGACATGCTGCTGAAGCGTCTTCCTCAGGGCCACACCACACGTGGGCTTGCATCCTTTTTCACTCATTTTAATAGCAGGAATGAATTCCCACGCCATCTAATCCCATCATCCAAGCACACAGACCCCGGTGTCAGCCGCTCCAATTTGCCGGGAGCACCTTTAAACGTGGGTTTGCCTGCTCGACCTCACCTTAAGCTGCACGCCTCAGGGGACGGGACCCACCACCCACTTTCAGCAGGATGTGCCCCTCAACGCAGCTCCCAGGGTGACTGTCATTATAATATTTTCCCATTTGACAGGCAAAACCTGATCTCAAATCAAAAAGCAGCTAGACACAGGACAGGGCCCCAGAGCTGCCTGAGGGCATCAGGCGACTGCCAGGTGGGGTCTCACCGAGTTCTTTGGAGCCCTGGCTCTCGCTGGCCAGCTCCCCCATCTTCACCAGGGCATCAAAGTAGCCTTTGGCTGCGTACGTCACACCTGGGAGAGAAAAAAGGGAGCAGTTATTTCCTCCATGAGGCACAGACGAGACTCTTCCCCAGCAAAAACACGGCAGTCTTCGCACGTACAGGCCAGCCCCCTCTCCTGCCCAGACAAGCTGGGAGAACATTCGGCTTGCTGTGATTTCTGGGCTGGACAGAACCCATCTCTTGTTGATATTCTTGTTTCACCCCAATCATGAGAGCTCCCTTGACTCGTAAGAACACAGCTTACCGGTTCAGGCCCTGGGCTACTCAAGTCAAACTGCAGAGTGCTGATTCCTATCACGTGCTACCAGGCGGGGTGGGGGGCGGGCGGGGAGTGCTGCACTAACGAAGTGTATTTCGTGAGACAAAGAACCAACCCTGGGCAAGGAAATGGCAGAGCTGGGCAGTAGGAAGCCATCTCCCCACAGATCCCCAAGCCGAGCCTGGAGTGGGAGAACTATTTCCCATCACTTCAGTCTCAGACCAGGACGCCCACCTGGGAGGAGATCACAGCTGATCAAAGGAGGCTAAAAGCATCACTTGGTGTCGCGCCGCCTGAGGGGCCTCCCATCAACTCGGAGGCAGAGTCTGATCTAATCAGAAGTGGGCGTGAAGGGCTCGGGCTTGCTGAACTCCTCCCCAGCCACAGGGGTGGAGCAGGCTCCTGGAAGAGCCTGGGCTTCCTCCTCAGGGACTCCAGGGAGCGCCCGGCAAACTCCTCCACCTGACAAGGAGCCCCACCCCGACCTCCAGGCTGCAGAAAGGGCGAGGCAGGGCCCTGGAGAGCAGCGTAGTTACAATTTCTAATCCGTTTTCTACACAACCCACTTAGGCGCCTACAACCGGGCCCTTCATCAGATTTTATTTATGTACTTTTCAATTCAGTGCGCACAGTTTGTTCTGCGGCACAAGACTACGCCTGCAGAGGAATGAAGGGCTGTGCCTCAGGGGAGGTGGGCTGCCTCAAATAAAAGAAAAAACGAAACAGCGGAAGTGAGACTCCAGGGCCGCTGGCTGTGGCTAAGGTGGCCGTGCTGCCTGGACGGCTGAGCTCATCCCTGCGAGGCCATCGAGAAAAACAGGAGGAGGAAGTAACGCTCTAAGTCTCTGCACTCAGTCCTGCCACCCTCATGAGGAACCAAACAGGAGCAGAAAGGCTCAGAAGGAACCCATGCCTTGGTGGCATCAAAGGGCTGAAGTGCCCGCTCACCCAGAGAAGGGGAGCACAGCCCCTGGCCCCCACCACAAACCACCGAAAGCAGCATCCACACCACCTCTGTGTGTGGACGACGGGGAAGAAATCCACACCTCGGAGAGCCCCGTGAGGACTATGAAAGACTCTACCATAGATGAGGTCACCAAGTGTCCTACGGACAAGTGGCTCCGGGAAAAGGAAGCCGTCGTGAGTCTGCAATGTGCAAGACCAGCCCCCATCTCCAGGGGTGGGATCATCTGGACCCTGGATTCCCATCGTAATGCCCAAGATTCAGACCCAGCTGGGAGGAGATAAACAACTGGTCTCATTCACAGGGCATGGAACTTAGCTGGGCCTGGAGAATCTGGACATCGTGTGCCGTGCCTGGAGATCATGGGATCACCACGGTTGGAGGCCCTCTGCACCCACCTCGAGCCAGGCCTCAGCCTTCCTACTCTGATTCAGGAGCCTCTTCCCAGCGTCAACATTTCAGACCAGAGGCAAAGGCAGCTCTCCCTGGGACCCCCACGAAGCTGCCCAACAACTGGGGTGCACCGCAGGGGAGCAAACCAGGTGCAACTTCCACCAGAAGGCCACGCCAGCCCTCAGAGCGGCCACAGGCTCTGCTGCCGACTTCCACTACCTGGTCCAAGAGGCTCCCGGCTGGGGGACAGGGTCACTACATAGCCCAAGGATCTCCACCGTCATTAAAACCCTGCCTCAGGCCAGGCTCATGCCTGTAATCCCAGCACTTTGGGAGTCCGAGACGGGCGGATCACCAGGTCAGGAGATTGAGACCATCCTGGCTAACATGGTGAAACCCTGTCTCTACCAAAACTACAAAAAAATTAGCTGGGCGTGGTGGCGGGCGCCTGTAGTCCCAGCTACTGGGGAGACTGAGTCAGGAGAATGGCGTGAACCCGGGAGGTGGAGCTTGCAGTGAGCTGAGATTGCACCACTGCACTCCAGCCTGGGCGACAGAGCCAGACTCCCTCTTCAAAACAACAACAGCAACAACAAAAAAACACCCTGCAGACTTCCGCTAGAGGAAAGACTCTCCTTAAGAATTTTGATGAGCAGGTCCCTCGGGCTGCAACCCCGGGACCAGGGCTGTAGGGGAGAGGCAGGGTGGACAGAAACAAGGCTGTTCCTGGGGCAGCCATGGGGGCCCTGCAGGGTGCCGGGTGCAAGCAGAGGTGGCCCAAGGGAGCTCCCTGTCCCCTTCATGCCCACAAGGAAACATGAAGGCCACCCCCCGCTAGATGTGGCAGACAGACACAACTGGTCCACCTTGGGAGCTGAGGAGGAGGGCAGTGCCAGAGACAGGCCTTCTGCCAGGTGCTCGGTTGGGGTACTTTGTCCCCAGGTGACAATGGAGTAAAGGTGGTTAAAAAAAAAAAAAAAAAAAAGAAGGACTGATCCACTCCTGCCCCCTCCTTGCCACCTCTAACCTGGCACCAAAACTGGACAACCAACTCCACCCAGTCCATGGGTGCCACGACACCAGGGAGCCGTGGAGGAGCCGGGGGCAGCTGGCGGAGATGCGGTGCGTGACCTGGAAAACACGGTCTCCTCCTGCTAGGGGATGTGAACTTTGCCTATGAAGATGCTGCAGTTACAGGGACACACATGGTAGAGGACGCAGGGCGACCGGGGTCACTGCCCAAGAACAGCAAGTCCCCATCCATGGCCGGACTCAGCCATGAGCACCTGCGGGGCCAACAGGGCAGGTGAGAAGTGCATCTGGGGACAAGGAAGCCACTCCCCACCAGGACGGAAAGACGCAGGTGCACCCAAGACCCCGCGGCAGAGCGCCTAGGCGGGGTGGGGGTGGTGGGCAGCGTCTCAGGGAGACAGTGGGAAGAATGGAATGGCCCTGCAGCCACCAGCCCCCCACACCCTCTGTCCTGGCTCTTTGTGAGAAGGAGCTGCAGGGTGTTCACTCAGAGAGGTGCCACAGGTCCCAAAGCCAAAGCTGCTGCGGTTACCGACAGCTTCATTCCAGCCCTGATCCCACAGTTTCTACATGATTCTGAGGGACTGACATCCGCACCCCTCCCGTCTCTAGATGCCACGGTGACAGCAGACACAGTCCAGAGTGCATGGGCTACGCCTTCACTCAAAGCCGCTGTCCGGCTTTGTTGCTGGAACAAAAGACCACCTTTCGCTCCTGACCAGGCCCCACAGCTGTGCCCAAGTCCATGTGCCAGGTCAGGAAGCGGCTCCCACCCCACAGGGCCAGGGCGCACTTCTACCTGCCAGCGCCTTCTCGTAATTCTTCCCCATGGCGATGAAGTTCCGGAGGCTAGGGTTGAACTGCTCCATGATGGTCTGGAAGAAAGCAGAGAAGAAACAGCATTACTGGCAGAGGTCACCCTGGTGACTCCGAAGGGTCCGAACACAGCGGTGCCAGGCACCCCTCCTGGGGGTCGAGACCACAAATGCTCAAGGTGGGCTTCTCGAGTTCAAATCCCAGCCATGCCCCTGATCAATGTCCCTGGGAAAATGACCTTCCTGAGCCTCAGTTTTCACATCTGTACGAAAGGGATGAGAAGAAACCCTGCCGCGGGAGTGTTTGCAGACTGAAGGAACGCATTTGCACGGTGCAGCAGGCAGAACACAACTGGCGCTCAGACGCGCTGCCACCGAGGGGCCGTGCCATTAGCGCGGCTGAGTCAGCCCAGAAGGGCCCCCACCGGCCACACACAGTCACTCACCGACGTGGCACCCCCCTCCCACTAAAATCCTACTCAGCACGTCAATTACCAAACATCAGCTCTGATTAGCGCCATGGCAGCCTGATCTGCAAATGCCATGCTATGAATAATCCAACAGCTCTGGGTCTGTTTGCCCGACGGACGGGCATCTCGGTGCCAAGATCAGCAGTTCTTAGACTCAAGAAATTAGATTTTCACTGTGAAGGCCAAATAAATGTTTTAATTACAAGGCATAAAAACAGGCACACACAAACAACAGCCAAATGAGAATTCTACCAGCATAACACAATCAACAGCCAGCCCCCGCCAGCAAGGGCCCGGGGAGCAGCTCCAACAGAAACCCCGGCGCAGCCGCCTCCCGTGTCTTCCGGTCGCTTGTTATGATGTGATCCTGATCTTTCCTGAGGATCACAGGAAGGGAAGCCGCCCAGCCCTGTCACAGATGAGCAGAAGGCTGTGGGGCCCCCACGCACCCAGCCCCAACCTGTGGGCTAGAGGGTGGGGAGGGAAGGGCAACTCCATTCCCCACCCCCTCTCCCAGCACCTGGCCTCAGCCTCCGGAGCCAACAGGGCAGATAAACAGGGCATTTAGGGACAAGAAAGCCACTCCCCGCCACGGGATCTGGCTCCAGAAAACCCGCTATTTCACGTGTCTTCCATTCCCTGCCCTGAGCTACAGCCAGGGTGCGTGTTCTCGGGGAACAAGGCCCCCAGTTCTGCGCTACACCAGGGCTTGCAGCAGGCCGGGTACACCTCAGTCCTGCCCGTGCTGGAACCTCCAGTGGTAAAGCCACCCGGCCAAGTTCCAGGGCAGGTACCCCTTCCTTCCTGGATGCAGCAAGGGTGAGGGCACCTTAGCGTGCTAGCCCAGAGCCCATGTGCACAGGGGTGGGGGATGCAGCAGCCACCCAGCCGCAAAGTCCTGTTCTCACAGAGCCAACGTCTACCGAGGGAAGGCAGGACTGGGGGGCCAGCGCTTCCGCAGAAGTGGGACAGGCGTGCTCAGCAAGACGTAGAAGGCAGGCAGGGAAGCACTTTCCATGCCAGACAGCAGTGGGCAGACCAGAGCAGGGCAAAGGCCCCAAGGCAGGGCCTGCGGTGAGTTCCTGGGAAAGTAGGACCCGACGTGGGGGTGGAAGGGGCCCAGGGGAGGCAGGAAGAGGAAGAGGTGGGTGCAGCGGGATACACCCTGAGGCCAGGCTGCACGAAGCTAAGGAGGGTCTGAGCAGAGCGATGGGCCAGCTACATGTAAAAGATCCCGCTGGGTCGGATGTGGTGGCTCACACCTGTAATCCCAGCACTTTGGGAGGCAGAGGCGGGAAGATCACTTGAGCCCAGGCATTCAAGACCAGCCTGGGTGACATGGTGAGACCCCATCTCTACAAAAAATTTAAAAATTAGCTGGGTGTGGTGGTGCACGCCTGTAGTCCCAGCTACTCAGGAGGCTGAGATGTGAGGACGGCTTAAGCCCACAAGGTCAAAGCTGCAGTGAACTGTGACTGTGCCATTGCACTCCAGCCTGGATGACAGAGTGAGACCCTGTCTCTAAAAAAAATAAAACAGGCCGGGCGTGGTGGCTCATGGCCATAATCCCAGCACTTTGGGAGGCCAAGACAGATGGATCACAAGGTCAGGAGATTGACACCATCCTGGCCAACATGGTGAAACCCCGTTTCTACTAAAAATACAAAAATTAGCTGGGCGTGGTGGCAGACGCCTATAATCCCAGCTACTTGGAAGGCTGAGGCAGGAGAATCACTTGAACCTGGGAGGTGGAGGGTGCAGTGAGCAGAGATCGCGCTACTGCACTCCAGCCTGGCAACACAGTGAGACTCCGTCTCAAAAAAATAAATAAAAAGTTTTAAAAACCAAAAACAAAACAACCAGAAGAGATCCCTCTGGCTGCTCAGGGGAGACGAGATTTTAGCCAAGGGCCCTGGCATATGCCGGGAGACCCACTGGACGCTCCGGGACGCCAGAGGAGAAGAGAGGCACGTACCACGCAGGCCTCTGTTCTAGAGGCGGGGACGCTGCAGCAGAGCAGGCTCAGCACTGAACTAAATACTTAGCAATGAACCAGGAGCCGGGACGCTTTAACTCCCACGAGCGCCTGGGAGCCGGGGCAGGCAGGTCACACAGAGAGTGTGTGAGATGGGTCTGGCGCCCAGGAGAACATGAGCCAGAGATGACGCCTGAGAGTTACCAGCAGAGAGGAGAATGCTGGGACCTGGAGTGCTCTCGGCAGCCTGGTTCAAACTGATCAAGCAGACCGGGACTGACGCTCGGGAAATGCTGCCGGATGCGTGTTTATTGTAATGAACTCAAGCAGAAGGGGGCATCAGCCAAGTGAGGTGGATGCAGCTGATTCTAGTGTTCTGGTGTGTGTGTGTGATGTCTGCATGCACATCTGTGTGCATGTGTGCGCGTACAGACACGCATGTGTGCAGTGTGTTCACGTGTGCATGTACACATTTGTGAGTGTGTGCTGAGATGCAGCATCAAGCATGTTTCTCACCCTATGTGACAGAGGTGTGAGAACTACCACAGAGGGTGGGCATGCCAGAGCAGACCCCTCGCTCACAAGAGCCCCACGTGCTTGGCTTCAGGACCATGACCCCCACAGACCCCCGGGCAGAAGAGGCGGCTCAACCTGAGCTCTGTGAGCTCCACTAACATCCTGAGCAGCAGGAGAAACAGGCCAGGAGCCACCCAGGGCCAACCATGGCGGGTCAGCACGGCAGCCATGCCCACTGCATGACGCACGGGGCAGCCCCAAGGTTTCGCTTCCTTAGTGCAGCAGCTGAGCTCACACGGAAGGAATGCAGGAGTGAATGGGCAGGGAACAGCCACCAGGCCACCTGGGCATGGCCCTGCCTCCATCTGTAAGAGAGGGGCGGTGGCCAGGACACACAGGTGCTGCCGTCCTGGCCCGAAGGCAATGGCAGAGGCATCAATTCCACTGAGCCAATATTGTAAGGGGGGACTCCCCTTACCAGGCGGAAGGGCCAGTTCCTCCTCCTACATCTGCATCCAGCCCCTGGGCCAGAAGAGAGGCTTCTGTGGAGCCCTGCCTCAGGCACACACAGCAGGTATCATCCACCCCTCCTTCGGGTTCCTCCCTCTCCCGGGAACCACAGGAGAAGCCCAGTGGCCCATGAAGAGCCCAGCCCCTCTGCTGGGAAACCATCTCCGGTCAGGCGTCTCTCTGAGCCCCCTAACGAGTCCATCCATTATCCTAGAGCTCTGGCAGGGGCCATCCTGACCCAGTGGGCCTGTGTGGAGGTCCCCAGCCCGAGGACAGCCCACTGTGGGGCATACACTCCAGTCCCGCCTCCACTTCCACTTCTGACTCCCCTAACTAGGCCAAGGTCCTGTTCCGGGGGCCCATAACCAACAGGCGCTCTGCAGTGTCCGGGGGTCCTGGGGTGGGGGCCGGGGAGCCAGTGGCAGGCAGCTCCAGCTCCTCTGGAACGAACACCAACAGCGGCAGCCCCAGGCGGAAAGAACTCTGTTCTCAGCCACACCAACGCGGCTTTTCCAAGTCACGGAGCGAGTGTATCTTTTTGCAGGATGCCACCAGGAAGGAGCTGAGCTCAGACACCCTGACACTGCTGGTCGGGGCGGGGAGGTCTGTGGGCTTTAAAAGGGGAAGGGAGCTTGTTTCTTACCAACACCAAAGGGCTGCAAAAACAGAAAAGCCTAGGCCGGGAGGGAGAAACTGCACAACAAAATAACCTCAAGCCCTCAGAGGGGCCACCCCCACACGGCAGGTCTGAAGCGAGTTTAAAGTCCAGCTGTCCACACTGAGGGCGCTCAGGGACACGTCGTGCCATCCTCAAGACCACAACAAAACTAAGAGGCTCCTGGGGGCTACGGGCACAGAGAGAGCTGTGCAGGGGTTCTGTGACCCCGTCCCCCCGCCAGGACAGAAATCCTACACCATGAGCAACCGTCACACTGTCCTCAAACTCTAGGACCCGTGCGGCGCAAATGCATCCCGGCGCGTGCAGAGCTCTGCTGTGCCCTGGTGACCACGTGCTGGCTCCCCCGGGCAGCGTTCTGGGCTGGCAGGGACTTCCAGTTCCCCACTTGGTCATTCACTATTGACCAGGGAACACCTTTCCCACCCCGGGGGTGGTCCTGGGTGGGCCTGCCCACAAGGGGGGCCTGCCCAGAAGGGGCTCCCACACATGCCATGGAAGGCTTCCCCTCATAGGACTCATGCCACGAAACGCCAGGTGAGGAAGCGTCCCTGCCCAGGGCTGCCCGCATGCTTGGCTGCCCTCCTATTGGGAGGCCCATAGAGATGGATGTCCCAGTGGCCCTGGAGTCGCATGAAATCCAGGCCTTGACCACAGCAGGGGCCTCGGCTGTCCCTACTACAGCTCCCAGGGACCCCGGCTACGCATTTCTGAAGGTACAAACGGGAGGGCCGTGTCCACCAGTTAGAGGTGGCCGCCAGAGAATGTCGATGAGCCCAGGGAGCCCATTTGGCTGGCGAGCTGCCGGACACTGCTGGCCAGCCTGGAGACTGTGGCCATTATCATTCAGTGCTGCGGGCCGGCCTGGCCCGTGCAGGCACAAGGCAGCAAAACCCCCGTCATCTCTACCTCC